AATTAAATTTACTAAATTTGAATGGATATGGGGTAAAAAAAATAAAGATAATACTAAATGCTTATCTTTTCATTGCAGAATTAATGCATGTCTTAAATAGTAATTAATTAAAGATAAATATAAAATTTTATCAATTATATATTACATCTTTAATATTTTATTAGAAAAAAGAAACTAATTAAATTTACTAAATTTGAATGGATATGGGGTAAAAAAATAAAGATAATACTAAATGCTTATCTTTTCATTGCAGAATTAATGCATGTCTTTATTGCATTTTAATACATGTACTCAAATCCTATTAATCTTGACACAAACTAGAAATGAACTCCTATAATATTTTTACCAGAAAGAATGTATTAATTTATTTTTGGCTCTGCGCTATTAAATTAAATGAAACATTACCAAAATACATTTTTTTTCAATAAAATATATACGTCTCAAATATGGTTTATCATAATATTTATTGCCTCAAAATCATTTAAATTTAAATTTAATTTTTTATTAGCCAAAAGGAATGAATTTTATTAAGGGACAAGGGGCATTCTCCAACCCCTTTTCAATCGAACTTATTCACATAATATCTGCTTTAATTGAATCCTTGCAGGGTACCAAACTATGGAAAGGCCTCAGTCCCTAATTGCGAGGAATGCAATTCACAAGGGCGATGTTAATGCTGTAATGGACTTTTTAAGGGGAAATCCAGGGGCAGAAAAATTCAGTTTTTGGACAGGTGACACTTGTCTTCATCACGCAGCTAGAGTTGGCAAGTCAAACATTGTCAAGGCATTGCTTGAGAGTACGCCTGCAGTGGAAAAGGATCCATGGGATAATACAGCTCTAGCACTTGCTACTATGTATGGAAATACCGAGATTGCAAAATATTTAGTTAGTAAGGATTCCACTTTGCTTTCTATTGAAGATGTGGATCAAGCAATCCCGGTAGTAACGGCATGTAGACAAGGGCATAAGGAGATGACAAACTTTCTCTATTCTGAAACCCCATTCGAAATCCTATTAAGCGAAAACGGAAAACAAGGATCCGAATTACTTCGTTGGTGTCTTACTTCCAAAAGATTTGGTAAGAGCATGCGAACTTTAACTACGCAAAATGAAATTTTATACTGTCATTAAACATATAAAATGACAACATTTTTAATATATGATTTTAATATGTGTAGATATCATGTTGGATGTACTTCACCGTGGTCAAAGTTTAATTGATAAAAATTGGAAGGATCTTTCGAATAGATTCGCCCGAACGCCAACAGCATTCAGCAATGGAAATGGGCTAACATTTTGGCAACGATGGATCTATGAGTGTGAGTATCGTTTATTCTTTCGTTTTAATCCTTCCATCGATCCCCACTTTTGTATCTTTTATTTCTTTTTTCATAAATTTGATTGTTTTGTTGGTAGTCTCATAAAATAAGCAGAATTGTTTTTTTAATAACCAATTATATATGCTACATGTTAATGCATGCTGCATGCCTTTTTTTTTTTTAATTATTTCTTTTCTCTTATACAGTCAAATTTGCTTTTCTTGAGTCATTAATTTAATCTTATTAATTATTGTTGTTAAAAGGTTTGAAGGTACACATACCTAGTGATTTTACTGTTGTTATTATTAATAAGAAAGGACAACAATTTGAAGAAATGTCATTGCCAGGTATGTTCTACTTTCTCTCCCTCTATGTATATGAAAAGTAAAATCAACTCCACCCATATACAACTGTTATCTAAATTTTAATTACCTACGTACACCACCTCGTCCCATTGAATGCCATGGAGTATATATCGTGTTTTTCCTTGTCAAACTAATGTTGTTTCAGTATTAATTTGTTAATGAATTTGTTAATGAGTTTGTTTAACTTGTGTAGTAAGAGTACAAGTTAAATGTGTATTAAATAAATTTTTTTGTTATAAATTTATATTAAAAA